CCAGCGGTCGTCTTCCGGTTCTTGATAACTAAAATGAACCTTGTACTGTTTTTGCGGACGACCCCTACCTCCGGTTCTGAAGACATCCTCAGCCACTATACCGTCTATGTCATACCTTCCATCCATATCAGGTGGGATCATTGATCTACGGGATGKWAACTGATCACTTGTTTGASAASGYAGCAACTTCGATRCGTGGAAAACTGKAYAMGTGTGGAGGTGTGCTGGTAGTTCTATTGTATAGGACGGTCCATCTTCACTGCCCTTGACTTCAAGAACAGGCCACGGTCCTCTATATGTGGGCAGTAACTTCTGCGAGATATTCTCCTCAGGTGCAAACTCTTTCGAACTAACCCAGACTAAGTCGCCTACTTGAAACTGTGAAGGGCGACGATGTTTGTTTGCTTGTTCTATCATCCTATGCTGGGCTTTCCTGAGGTTTTCTACAACAATAGCTAATTCTTTCACATGCTGTACAGCGAACTCCCGGGTCCCGGGCGGCAATCTCTGAATCTGRTCCCGGTTGAGTCCCTCAAACGGTCTGCGCGGTCTAAAGGACTTGTGCAGTTCGTTGGGAGTGCGGCAGGTGGCTAGATGCACGCTGTTATTGTACGCACTAGCTACTTTAGGCAACATCTCATCCCAATTAATCTGATCTGGCCTAATATACATGCGCARAACTTGCTGYAGGATCTTGTTCATTTGCTCTGTCTGACCGTTAGTCTCTGGATGGCGGCCGGACGACATCAACAACTTAGATCCGTATACTCCCATGAGTTCTTGCCAGTTCTGGCTAGTAAAGYGACTATCTCTATCGCTAACTATAGACAGYGGGATTCCATTCTCACTAACCCAACAGTCRAAGAACCTCTGTATGACTAAATCAGTACGCGCCTCAGAAGGCRAAGGAACAAAAACTGCGTACTTGCTAAAGCGGTCAACTATGACCATGACTTGGCTCTTGCCATGCCTGCTCTTGACTTGAGTGTCCATGAAATTTATTGACACTGAGTCTCCCGGCTGATCCGGAATGGGCAAGGGTCTGAGAAGAACTAGCGAGGCGCACGTAGAACTCTTATTACGCTGTCAGACTTTGCAACTGCGAACATACTCTACGCAGCCATTCTTCATCCCTGGCCAGGTATACGCGCGCATCAGATTGGCCAAAGTCTTTTGCCAACCGAACATTGCCGTAGCCGTGCTCCACGCTGTCGACCTGCACAACAACAACAAGAACAACAACAACCAGAACCACAACCACCTGGACGCCCGGGCGCCATAGCCGTGCTCCACGCTGTCAACAACCAGAACCACAACCAGAACCACAACCAGAACCACAACCAGAACAACAACAACAACAACAACAACAGCAACAACCACAACAACAACAACCAGAACCACAACCAGAACAACAACAACAACAACAACAGCAACAACCACAACAACAACCAGAACCACAACCACCTGGGCGCCATAGCTGTGCTCCACGCTGTCGACCTGCACAACAACAACAAGAACAACAACCGCAACAACCAGACGAAGAAGACGAAGAAAAAGAGGAGGAGGAAGAAGAAGAAGAACAAGAACAAGAACAAGAACAAGAAGAAAGAGAAGACGAAGAAGAGGAAGATGAAGAAGGTGAAGGAGAAGAAGAAGAACAAGAAGAAGAAGAAGAAGAAGAAGAAGAAGAAAAAGAAGAAGAAGAAGAAGAAGAAGAAGAGGGGCGGAGGCCATACCTGCGTCCCTTACCTGGGCGCCATAGCCGTGATCCACGGCTGTCCACCTGCACAACAACAACAACAACAACAACAACCACTACAACAACCAGAACCACAACCACCTGGGCCCAATAGCCTTGCTCAGCGCTGTTGACCTGCACAACAACAACAAGAACAACTACAGCAACAACCAGACGAAGAAGAGGAGGAGGAAGAAGAAAAGGAAGCAGAAGAGGAAGAAGAAGAGGAAGAAGAAGAGGCAGAAGAAGAGGAAGAAAAAGAAGAAGAGGAAGAAGAAGAAGATGAGGAGGAGCAAGAGGAAGAAGAAGAGGAAGAAGAAGAGGGGAGAAGAAGAGGAAAGAAGAAGAGGGAAGAAGACGAGGGAAGAAGAAGAAGAAGAGGAAGAGGAAGAAGAAGAAGAGGAAGAGGAAGAGGAAAAAGAAGAAGAGGAAGAGCAAGAGGAAGAAGAAGAAGAAGAAACGGTGTGTGTCTTCGGCTTGCCGCGACCTCGGCCTCTGCCGGGGCGGCCACCTTCCCGCGCGGCTGCGAATCTGTCCCCTTCACTGGCAGACGCAGCCTCGCTGGATTGGTCTAACGGCGCTGCCGCTGCGACCACGGCCACTCTTGGCCGATGCTGGTCCCTGCTCGGGCCTGACGCAGATGAACGGAGGTTCTTGGCCTCCTTGTTCGTAACGATGATCTGCGCAGCCTTGTCGAATAGTTCCGCCGTCGTCGTCAAGGTGTCCTCGACATGCGTCAGGGCATTGCTCAATGTCGGACAT